GGGGGGGGGGGGGGGGAGAGGAGGACTGGAAGGATGGGCTGACGAAGCCCGCCGCGGACGAGCGCTACCGCACGGAGGACGTGACCCAGACCAAGGGCAACGACTTCGAAGATTACTTCCTCAAGAGGTGTGTGGTAATGTGTTTGCGGTCCTCCGTTTTCGCAGTTGTTTTCGTGTTTTAGTTGGCCGGTCTGTCGATCTCCCTCGTCTCTTGTCTTCCGTACCCACCACCATGTGGTTGCGACGATTCACGGCGCGCGTGTTCCACTTGGCCTCGTGGTGGAACTTCCATGCGGCGTGGTGCGCAGCTGTAACGGACTTGATATTCCATTCTGCCTTGAGTTATATATAAAGTGAGGTTCAAACGTACAATACTCCACGATGGTGGTGTAACAGCGGCACCGCCTGGTGTGGCGCCCCGAGAAACATGCAGCCGCGGCGCTTTCGTGTAACCTCGCGCGTTCATCGCCACCGGTATCGGATTCCGAGAAATTTATTTCTTGGTGTGTTGGCATCGAATCGAGATGCTGTGCTCTGTATCCTCCTTTTTTTTTTCATGCATTTTTCTCCTCGTCACAATTTTTCGCGAGCGATGGCGGTTCATCACCCGCCCATGGTTTCGCGCCGGTTGGTTGTTGTCATCGGTGTCGCACGCCCGATTCGAGCGCTAATGACTCGCGCTTGATTAATATATATATACCCTTGACCTTGCGGTATATGGGAGCACTTGAACCCGGCGGGACAGAGGGTGGCTGGATACACGTGTATTGGCGGGCGTGCTCGTGTTTAACGTGTTGGCCAACCACAGTAGTGCCGCTTGTCTTCCATCGGCTTTGGATTTTCATCCAGGGGACTTGCGATGCAAAAGAGACACACGGCGTGTGCTTTCAAAGGTGCCATGATAACTACTCTCGTGCTTCCGCTACAGCCGGATGCCCGTGTCTTTAGGAATAGGTTTGTCCGTGTACCCTAAGTCCAAAACGCAGCACTGCACACTTTGACGCTTGACGGACTTCTACGGTAGTAGCGCATCCCTCATCACTATGTTCGGGATGGCAGCATTTCATGCAGCCCATTCTTCCTTGACAAATTCAAAAGTCGCGTTTGTCAAGCTGTCCGAACCTCGGGCGTGTCTAGCTACTGTAGCCCGCGGCCACGAAATACACAGCCATGGACGAATTGTTTCGTGCAGAGGAAAAAATTGAAACGCGCAAGCAACCCTTGACGACAGTTTAGGCCTACCGAACGCGCTACGGGCGGAAGAAAGTGGCGGTTGTTGATAGGCGGAGGCCAACACTGCTCTCTACCCCGTCGGTGTCTTCTATCCACCCGCATTCCCCTTCTCTCTGGCCGTCTTCTCATGATGCACTCTAGCCCGCTTTTTGGTACGCCCCCCCTCCCCCCCCCCGCGCGCGTTCGCCTTTTTTTTTTCTCCTGACCCTAATCTTCCCATAAACTCCGGGCCCGTGATTTTGTCCGTCTTTTGTGTTGCCGAGAATAGGGAGCTCCTGATGGGCATCTACGAGAAGGGCTTTGAACGGCCGTCGCCCATCCAGGAAGAGGCCATCCCGATCGTGCTGCAGGGCCGCAACCTGCTCGCCCGCGCCAAGAACGGCACCGGGAAGACTGCGGCTTTCATCATCCCTTGCATAGAAAAGACCGATGCTAAGCGCAACCACATCCAGGTACGGCGTGCGGCAGCAGTCGCGGCCCTCCCTCCCGGCTGTAAGGACAACACTAAATCTACACAAGCATGGCATGGGGTGTCTGGCAGAACGAAAAAATGGGGTATTCAGTACGGGGGGTTGGTGATTTTGTGGACAGTTCCTCGCTTTTGCAGTGGACGCATTTTTCTTCGTTAAAATGAGTTGTATGAAGTTTAAAGTGAGGTCGACTGCTGTACAACGGACAACCGATCATCGTTGTATTTTGGGCGTGTTGCTACCTAGACGAATCAGCAGCGTTGCCGTTTTCTGTGCTGAGCGTAGAAGGGCGGGGGGGCGGGGGCATGTACAGCTCCTACCATTTTGTCATGTATCCCCTGCGCAGGAATCGTAGATAGCCAAAGCGCAACCGAATGAGGGGGTTTTCGGATGTGGAAGCAGGGTAGCTGCAATTTTGTGTCCCCGGGTGGCACAGTTTCGTTCCTCAGGTCGGCGAATTGTGTTCCGTGGCCATGACTGCTCTGACTCTTGTTTGTACGTGCAAGCAAGGACGTTTGCGCGGGCGGGGCGTGCCAGTGTCAAAAACCCAATATATGATGGTCGCGGCAATCTAGCGGTTGTCTGCTTTCACGTATTTAGTATCTCGTTCGAAGGGTAAGGCCGGACAAGTATGCTTGCTCTTACTGCCCTCTCCCATGCCCTCGTGTTCTAAATGACGCCGGACAAGTATGCTTGCTCTTACTGCCCTCTCCCATGCCCTCGTGTTCTAAATGACGCGATGCCGGCAACGGCATGATTCCATTCCGCCGTACCCATTCCGCCGTACGCTTGACCGGGCCTTCCGTAGGACCTTCCCCGCTTCCCTCTCCTTACGTCCGGCCTTGATGAACGTGCGCTGCCGTATGCATAGGTGCTGATGCTGGTGCCAACGCGCGAACTGGCCCTGCAGACGTCGGCAATCGTAAAGGAGATCGGCAAGCACACTGGCGTGCAGTGCATGGTGAGCATGCATTTGGAGGGCGGGAGAGAAAACAGGCGGGGGGAAGGAACCGCGTTGTGCGGCAGCGCTGCTGTTGGTGGTTGCTCGATGTCCGATTTAATGGGTGCAGTGTGGCTTGTGGTCGTTCGTTCGAAAGGTGAACGAGAAGGCGTTGGCGGTGCGACTGGGGGTGGGGGGCGATTGGGTGATTGGGTGAGACACGGTTTGGGGACAGCGGCCGAAGCCATGAACGGTAGCGCGACACAACAACTTCAGTGTACGAATTATCATTGCGTGCAAACGACTATTATAGAGAGCAATGTCAATTACCACGGCAATATTTTGCGTCGACGTGATTTGTGTTCGTGCCTATGTTGGGAGTTAGGATCCCACAGAGCGACGACTGTTTTTCGACATCTCCCCCCGCCCCCCCCCCGCTGTCTTGGACCCCGATCTCCCGACGCCGGTGCGCAGGTCACAACCGGGGGCACTACCCTGAAGGACGACATCATGCGTCTCTACAACGTGGTGCACATCTTGGTCGGCACCCCTGGACGCGTGTTGGACCTCGCGGACAAGGGCATCGCAAACCTCAAGGAGTGCACCACTCTCATCATGGACGAGGTGAGGTCCTTGTTTACTTAGCCCCCCCCGCCCGCCGAAGCATGCGTCCGTGCCGACTTTATAGGGATGCGAAGTTAATGGTTTAACGACTGCGGCATGCACGTCTATGAGTCCCCCCCCCCCGAATCATAGCGTATGCAGCGTGTGCACAGCAAAGTACATAACTACCACAGCCCTTTTCCAGATAGCGTCTCCACTCAAGAGGAGTTATTATGCTACCCGAGGCCTGTTTCACCCTCGGTACGGAGAAGGGCAGGGACTACTACGGCTGTGTGTGCATAGGGTGGAGTGGAGTTGATGTTCTTCAATTCCTGTTTTGTTTCGGGGTTCTTGTAATGGTCAGCTAGCGGTCAATGTCTGCGGCTGTTGTTGATTGCGTCCAGGGTGACGCAAGAGATACAGTTACCGACCATCGCGTCGCTGTCAATGTTTTGGCTGTGGTTGAGGGAATGAAGGATGAATCGATCGACCCTGAGCTTCATGGGAGTTGGGCGCAGAGAGAGCAGAGGCTGAATTGTAATCCGTTCCCCAGTACTGACCACTAACCTCTTGATGACTTCTCGAGAGTGGCCCAGTTGAAGAGTTCTGGACCTCGCTCACATCAAGGGGATCGGCAGTCCACGGACCCAAACAGATCCGCGAACACAGATGCTAAGCGAAGAAGCCTACATTAAGACATGTGGTACATTCGTGAAAGTCGCTGTTGGCCTCCCCCCCCTCCCCCAGCGATCGGTAGAAACACGCCCGGGCGAAAGAACAAAGTGGTAGTTTTTAGGAGGTGGTTGACGGGTCCTCTACGCTTGTCGTTAAAGAGATGAGATGAGTGGTGGAACCCTTGACCCGTTTCGCCGTTCTGCCTTCACTTTCGGCACGTCGGCACCTTCTCCCACGGGGGGCGCTTGTGCTTCTCCTCACGCTGACCCCCAACTTCCCTCCGTCTGGGATGCATCCATTCATGCGTGTGCATGCCTTGAACTGCTGTGTTGGCGAGTAGAGTTACGCGATAAAATCCTGTTTTTGCTCTCTCCGCAACAATATACTACGAAATCGTTGTTTTAGTTTTTGACCTGATACACGGCCGCTCGCTCTGTGTCCCTTGTGCCCAAACCGTTTTTATTTACTTTTCTTTTTCAGGCGGACAAGCTTCTGTCGCCCGAGTTCCAGCCCGTGCTAGAGCAGCTGGTGAACCACTGCTCCAGGAAGAGACAAATCTGCCTCTTCAGCGCCACGTTCCCGGTGACGGTGAAGGACTTCAAAGACCGCCACATCAGCAACCCTTACGAGATCAACCTGATGGACGAGCTCACGCTCAAGGTGCGCGCCGCGTGGGAGTGCCGCATGCGGTTCTTGGTTGGGTGGTGTTGGGTTGACAACGTCTACAGCAGTAGATGAGACGATTATCCTCGTCCCTCTTGTCGTGTACTGTTGATGAACATGCTGGTAGTGATGGAGGTTGTAGTTGTTAGATTGCGGGAGAACGGGAAGTTAGGAGTAGCTCTGGACGAGATAGATACCTGGGTCTGGTTGAGGAGCTTGGTGAGTTCCTTGACGTGACAGGTGTCAGCACGAATTCTTGTTGACATGTGTACCGCAAAGAAAGACACACGTCTAATCTCCGTCAAAACAAGATAGGCCGTCCTGACGTACTAAATGTTCTCCCGCACTGTACCAACTACACCCCGTTACCACACGCACAATTTTAACATGCTGCGAAGTATATCTAGCATGTAGGCTTGCATGTGCGTAAACGTAGCCAGTGTTCCGAATAGATGAAAAGGCTGGTGGGAGCGGGCGACGAAGAAGGTTGTTGTGCGCAGTTTTCTGGCGTTTGCCATCAAAAGAGTCCCCGCCCCGGTTGGTTGGCGGTTTGAACATGACACGTAAATGGAAGTCGCTGCTGCAGTGTACAATGTGAGACTGACTTGTCGGCAAGGTCGGAAGGTTGAGCTCCCTTTGAAACCGATGACGAATTCGATCCATGCCGACTCGTTCGTCACATGTGTGGTCTGCGCCAACTGTATTATAGACGAGAACACGCCGTGACGGCAGTTTTGTGTTCCTTGTTTCTTTCCTTTTCTCTTTTATTTCAACAGGGTATCACCCAATTCTACGCCTTCGTTGCGGAGCGCCAGAAAGTGCACTGCCTCAACACGCTCTTCTCCAAGCTGGAGGTCAACCAGTCCATCATCTTCTGCAACTCCGTCAACAGTGAGTCGGTCGGCTCAGCAAAGGGCTCGTGCCATTTGCTAAGCTAGTATTGTGGTACACACAAGCCTTGTCGGCACAGGTTTGTGCCAAGTTAAACTGCCCGAGCCCCCTTTTTTTTGTCCTCAACGATCGTTGTCGAACGGGTGGGATGTAATGGTACACAGCAGTCGTTTTTGTTGTCACTGGCCGGCGACTGATTTTGACGTTTTGTTGGGCTCTGACTGCCTCAACGCATTTTTATCTTCAAGTTTTGGTTCTGGTCGCTCCTGCGTTGAATGGATGGCCTCGCAAGCTTTGGGCGTGACATCGAATCTCCGTGCCCGACAGTAGTTTCACAGACTGGCATATATTTTGGTGGCACAGCTGTTGCTTAGTTTGGGCGTGCGCAACATTCGGCATGCAGGTAGGTGGAAGAGAGAATGAACGTCTCTTTTCTTTTGCGTGGAAATGAATGCAAGCCACAAACAAGGCAGGTGGAGCAACAACGATAACAAAGTCCTGTGTGGCCTTCCTCTTGTGTGGCCCGACTGGTGCGTCCGAAAACCTTTCAGGAAATCGTTCACATCGACGGCCAGAACAGATGATATTTTTGCACACATTCACCAAAGGCGACGTGGCACGCGATAAGGCTCCAGCTGATGTTCCTTCGAAACGACGTTCGATTTCACGCGCCGATGACTATTTGGGGGCGCTTGTTGTCGACAACGAGATAACTCGATAAATGTATCGGATGGAGTGATCAAACTATTGGGTGATGCATTTGACGACACTAGACCCGCTTTTATGTTGATGGAACAGGGGTGGAGCTCCTGGCGAAGAAGATCACGGAGCTGGGCTACTCGTGCTTCTACATCCATGCCAAGATGCAGCAGTCGCACCGCAACCGCGTCTTCCACGAGTTCCGCAACGGAGCCACTCGCCACCTGGTGTCTTCGGGTGAGAACTGTTGTCCCGTGTTGTTGCTGGGGTGCGGGGAGGGTTGTGATCCAAGCGCTTCCGACGTATGTGTGGTGTGTGTAGACCTCTCGTTGTACTTCCTCCCAAAGGGCCAAGTGCAGGGTGAGTGTTGCGTGGTTGTCTGCGCCCTGCCCTGTTTTGAATCTCGTCGAGGATGCCGTATCCCGTTTTCGGACTGCATGCGTCGTGTGTTGTCACGAAGACCTTGCTGTCCATGAGTACCCCCCTTAACACCGAGAGCGACGCGTCTTTTCATTGGTTAGCCGATTAGCGTGGTCGATGCTAACAGTAAAGAGAGAGACGCGAACAAGCGACAACCAAGAAACGATTTAGGTGTGCCCCCCCCCCCCCCCCCCCCCCC